CCCCCTCGTTGGGACGACTGTCTTTGGGCGCCACCAGCTCACAGGACACCTGCGCCATGACCCTGTGGGGAGGGGGTTAGGGTTAGGGTTAGGGTTAGAGTTAGGGTTAGGGTTAGGGGGGGCAGAGTCTGAGAAACGGGGGCCGCACCCCAGAGAAACAGGTCCACCTTCACGTCCTGGTTTCTCACCGTAAGAGCTAATTCTTAATGTCCGAACTGTCTAAAATGTTGCTGGTTATCATATAAACACACTTTTAAGTATTTTCTCAGTATTCAGACATCTGGAGACGGTTATTTACCGGACTAAAACAGAGAAATGCGAGTTTTAACCGGTATAAAAATGAAAACACCCGGCCACAGACTCACCTGGTCTGTCCCAGATCCACAAAGCAGCATCCGTAGTCGGTCCCAAAGCGGATCTTCAGCCTCCTGTAGTCGTATGTCTGCCGGCCGTCGATCCGCTGCAGTGGACAGAAGCACCGGTCAGACAGGGCCTCACAGAGCTCACACAGACGCTCCCAGAAAGCTGGAAAACTTCTAATCAACCGACCACTGAAGAAAACAACACCTTCTGAGAACTGTTGGTGGTTCTTACTTAAAATATCCTGAATATGAGCACATAAAAATGATTTTCTCTGGTGTGAGAGTTCAGTAGCTCTGCAGGTGAACCAAAGGGATGGAGGCATCCGGAGCACATCTTATGCCAGACTGGAAAATCAGTTTGGTCCTCATAGATTCCTCTCTTCTCCTCTCATCTCTGTCCTTCTGTCCAACCAGAGGCGAAGAGAGGTGGCAGCAATTCATTAGAGATGAGACGTCCGGGATTTGGAAGTTTTTAACTGATTCCTCCTATACGGTTTATAACTATATTATATTTCTTTTTTCTGGCAGAAGTGTAGAAAACAACGGCAAGGGTCTTTACATTTGTGTTGCAACGAGTCGTCATCTTGAAACGCTCCGAACACGCAAGAGGAAATATTTTAAAAATACTCAAGAAAAAAGGAAAAAGCATCTTTACTTTAACGGTAGAGAGGCCTTGAACGCACCTTTTTCTCTTCGATGGCTTTCAGCAAGAAGTCCCTCTCGCAGTTGGACAACGGGGTGTCCCTCATTCCGCCGGTTTGTGCTGTTTGTAGTTTTATTTAAAGGATTTTATTCACTCCTAAACAACCATGTGGGCACCATTAATGTTTACCAGTGCGGGTCGCGCATGCGCAAAGGTTCACAATTTACGGCAGTGGATGAATGTCGTGAACCTTATCATCGTATTATCCAAAATATTGAAAAAGACTAGCTAGTTAATTTCCTGTTTCAGTGTGTTTATTTAAAATATAAAAATGTTGGCGTTATGTACATGTTTTGACTCTTGTCCCATTGCAGTCCTGTTTATTTATATCGCTTTAACTATTCAATTTTTTTTAAAATAATCAGTAAAATGTAAGTATTGGGCCAGCAAAGGCCAGCTAAGTGCTGGCCTAAAAAATTAAAACCGATTTTTTTCTTAACTAGTTTGATTACATATTTAGTCTTCCAACCGCCAAGATGATGTTGACGTTAGCTTTCAACTGAAAGCGAACGCGCGACTCATGCTGCATTCACTTTCAACTTGGCATTTTCACGACTAACTCCAGTTAATAGCGCGGAGCTGTTCATCCAGCATCTTCTCCAATATGATTACATTTATTTTCTCCTTAAGACTCAAATAGTTCCGTCATTAGCTAAAGAATATGCATCTGGACGCACCTTTTACTACAGGAGTAATGCTTTGTTTTGAATTCTCTGTCTCCTGAAGGCATCATACACGGTCTCCATCTGCGCGAGACGCGCATGCGCATGAGTAGATGCTGTCTTGCAGCATAATTGAATCTGTCGCCGTTATTCGGGCCGAGCTGTCACTCACGGTCCATCCTCCTCAGCTGAAGCCCGTCCTCTCCCTACCCTTCACCGGCGAGACTAAAAGCGGACTAACCGCACACAACTCCACCGCCGTTTGTGTTTGAGAAGCAGTGTCAAAGGAAGGCCTTTTTCCTCCACAGTTTCCCAAAGGCGCAAGGTTTGTGCGTGCGCTATGAGAGTCTACATCCCCGCTAAGTTAGCAAGCTAGCACTTTCTATCCATTCATTTCTGCTGGTCATTAAACATTTTGACCGACATTTCTTTTAATACGATTCTAACCGCTTCTGCATTCAGTTTATCTGCATGTTTAACTCATGTATTAGCCCCGTTTTTCCCTCTTAAGCGGTTGTTTTGCTAACCTTTTCTGTTTGTGGCTGGCGCGCGCCCGGCTACAGCAGCTAGCTTTAGCCGGAGGAGCAGGTGCTGCGGACCGTTCATCTGAGTTTGGGCATTGCAGTGCTCGGTGGCAGCCATGTTAACTTCTCACTTGCTCCCCATGACCTTTATTTTACTTCGTTTTATAGGGCCTATCGGGTTGTAATCGTAATGTCCTGTAGTCATAGCGTTTTTGGGCGAAAATTGGTCCTTTTCCTTGCTTATAAACCGGCAGTCAGACGATGGGGGAGGGACGTCGTATCCATAATGGAAAAAAACTGGAATTGCTTTGGTGTGATAACATTTTAGACGTTGTTGCTATGCTTGTAAGCATGATATAGCAAACATGATGAGTCATTTTTACTAGCTTTGTCCTAATAAAAATGTGCACTCATTGCTACCTTGGATTCACAGTTAGAAGATGTGAGTCAGATAAGGCAGGAGTTATGGGGGGGCATTGCCCTGCATGTTTGAGATGTTTCCCTGTTTCAACACACCTGATTCAGGTGTAAATACATCTATTCAAACGATTGCAAGGCTTTGCACAAGTCTGCCTGTGGCACAGTGATATGAATCAGGATCTGTGGAGCCCCCTGAGAGAAGATGAATGAAGCAGGTTTTTAAAGAAAAAGTCCACTGGTGCCTCAGTGTCGCTTGAGGTGTTTTTTTAAACCTGTTTTAAATAGATTTAATCCACATTTGGAGACAGGCACAGTAAAGTCATGTAATATCTTTACAGAGAGTAAAGAAACGCGTTTAGGAGGTCTCAGTAATTGTCTCCTTTTTAAGGTTTTTATAAGGTTAACCACCTACCGAACCAAAATAGAAGTGTATCCTATCCTGCCTTCCTCTGGTGACTATGTGATGCCTGGGTTTGTTCACTTCTTTAACCAGTATATGCAATCTCATGTCTCACTAATGTTTGTCTTATGATTTTTCAATTTTTTCGGTATTAAATGGACTAATTAATCAAGCCATTTTCTTGTTTTGTGGTCAGAAAGCCACGTCATGACATCATCTAGATGTTCTCTGTAGTTTCCCCCTAATTTGTGTTGGCAGCTCTTTATCTTTGAGAGCTGTTTATCAAAGTAATTATTTGTTTAAAAACCCTTTTGTAAAAGATACTTTTGAGGGAGCTTTCCCCAAAAATGACCATTGTTGATAAAGTTAACCTCTTTTGTCACTTTTCTTAGACATGTAATAAAGCATTTTTACGACACATTACTAATTTATCTAAGTGTGATTATTTGTGATAAAGGGGGGGGGCATGTCTCAAATTCTCTGAAAATAGAGAAAATAAAACTAGGGAACGCAATTACTTATTTGTTCTCATTTCTCCCTTTTATTTATTAAAGGAGCTAATTGAAATAATGAAAAAAGCAGAAAAATAAGCAACAATTAGACTCTTATTGGGAAGATGATAGTTTTTTGTGCTGTCTGGTCAGCGTGTCAATCTCACACAGCTGGCAGTGAAGCAGTGATTCAGAAAGACAGGAAACAGATTTAAGAAGCTGCAAAAAGTGCGTTTCTCGACCTTTAACCTCAGGTTGATGATAAAAGTATTTGATTAGGATCTGCCCCTGTAATCCCCACCTCCCCTCTGCCCCCCCGCCCCAGATGAAGATGGCTGGAGGCTGGACGTGGCGCCTGCTGCTCCTGTCCTCTCTGGCCGTGGCCGCCGTGGCGGCCCTCGAGAAGCAGACGGAGTTCGGCGGCGCCGCAGAAGTGGACGAGGACCTGGGCCTGGACGAGGAGGAGCTGAGGGCCCTGATGGCGGAAGAGGACCAGGAGGAAGAGGAGGAGGAGGAGGAGGCCACGGTGATGGACGACGAGCAGGTCGAGGAGCCGGCTGGAAGCGGAGCGGAATCTGAAGTCTCTTTTCAGGTCAGAAACGGGTCCTCAAACGAAGTCGGATGGATGGATGGATGGATGGATGGATGGATGGATGGATGGATGGATGGATGGATGGATGGATGGATGGATGGATCGATGGATGGATGGATCGATGGATCGATCGATCCCCAAGGGGAAATTCAATGTCCCAGCACCTTAAGACATTACACACAACATACACTACAATTCACACAGTATCTTACAAAATCACTAGAATACTAAATTAACACAACTACCAGATCAACATTACTAGGGGATAAAAAGTAGTCAAAAGCACTAGAATACTAGATACTAAATACTAATTTAAAATAGTTGCCAGATCAACATTACTAAGAAATCAGCCTTTGGTCAAGTATCAAGTTAGACCACCGTCCAATCAAGGGAATGGAGGAGGGGTAGTGCACGTTGGCCCTAGGTACAAATGACTTCCTGAGTCGTGTTGTCATTTCTGAGGATGCAGTGTTTTATTTTTATTTGTGTTTTTTATTTCCAGGTGACCTACAAAACTCCCGTTCCCACTGGAGACGTTTACTTCGCCGAAACGTTTGACGACGGCTCGCTGGACAGGTAGAACCGCCGCCCGTAGCACGCAGGCCGAAGGCCCTCAGGTGTGTGAGGCCGAGGTTTGTGACGCCCTCCTCCGCAGATGGCAGCTGTCGAAGACCAAGAAGGAGGACGCCGACGAGGACATCGCCAAATACGACGGTTAGTGCCCCCCCCCACCCTCCTCCTCCGATTCCTCACAGGTAGGGCCGGGCTATTTCTCGATTTTGATTTTATCCGCGAAGTAACATTTCTCTAGAATTATAAAGGAGACGTTTGATCAAAGTTTTCACAGACCCCCGAATAGCCAATAAGATCTAAACAGCGCCACACGTAGAAGCTCGCAGTGGCACAAAGCCGCGGTGAAGTTTGCAGCAAATAATTTCTCCAGCTAAACCGTAAAACCTTATAAGCTCTGAACAGTAATCGGGAGAAAATGCTGCCCAGGAGAAGCTTTTAAAGCTGTTTTTGGGGGGATTTTGAAGATGTTTTGTGGCTTTTAAAGGTGTTTTGAGGGCTTATAAAGCCGTTTTGAGGGGTTTTAAAGCTGTTTTGGGGGGGTTAAAGCTGTTTTTGGGGGCTATGCTGCCCAGGAGAAGGACGACATCTTGAAAAAAGGGCCTGAGAGGTTTGGCTGCTCGGAGGAACTTTGGGTATTTGAAGTTGGACGAACAGCAGAGTAAGACACTGTGCGAACTATGTGCTCTGACACGAGGACTCCCCCCTCTGCCGGCAGGGAGGTGGGCGGTGGAGACACTGAAGGAGAACAGAGTCCCCGGAGACCAGGGCCTGGTGCTGAAGTCCCGGGCCAAACACCACGCCATCGCCGCCATGCTGGACAAACCCTTCGTGTTCCAGGACGAGCCGCTGGTCCTCCAGTGCGTTCACACCGACTCAAGCTTATCTTTTCCTGTTAAACAACCATGAGCGCCAGCTCTTAAGCTGTTCGTTTGACTTCCTGTTGCAGGTATGAGGTGAATTTTCAGGATGGAATCGACTGCGGGGGGGCTTACCTCAAACTGCTGTCCGACTCCGAGGGTCTGAACCTGGTAGGTTTTTTAATGTTTATGGTTTTCAGAAGTACAGGATGGTGAACCCCAGCTTTTCTGTGAAGAGCCTCCAGTAAAAACTCTCCAGCTTCTTGGAGGACGTCACAAAGCTCTTCTCTGGAAGCTGCTGCTGCCTTTGGCTCCGTTCTGTCAGATGATCCCACGCTGCTTCATAACGTGGAGCTCCGGCTCTGGAGGATCCGTCCCTCCATCAGAGCTGCTGGGGTTTAGTCCACTTCTGGTTCCTCTGGCAGAGCTCAGCCTTTTCTCCCTGTTGGTCCCCGTGTTGGTTCCTGGTTTCATTCAGTTTCTGACCCACTGTGGGAACTCTGGGAGGTTTAGCTGCTGTTAAATAA